TATCTCATTAATTTTAAGTTAAAAAAAAAATTGAACCAAGCAAATAGAGACAAATGCCATATGAATTTCTCATGGATATCTATCTAATTTGAGAAACTACTCTTGCCTATACTACTTTCTCATTGTCTCTATTCCTTTTTTATATCTTTATCATTATTTTTACTATGATATTTTCACTGGAGATGTTTTAACTGGCTTAGTGTTTTTTTTTTTTTTGGTTACTGCTTAGTGAACTTGCTTTAACGAATAAAAATTTGTAATCCAGTTCATTGTATCTGTTGAGTATGTTAGTAAACGTTCTTCTTAAAGCAAACGTTGACTTACAATATGATGACATTGATTAAACCAAGTCAAACACCCAAAAACGTGTTCCACTGATTTGTGTCCCAACTTTTCTTGAAAATCTTGAACCAGTCTTTGATTCTCATCTCCATTTTGCCTATAACTCTGGTTTCAAAGACAAATTCTTCATAATATGTAATGGACCTCCAACCAAAATTCGACAAAAAACAAAAAAAAACTCTCTTTATCTCAATTTCAATATTTGTTGAAAAAGCTTCATCACTTTCAATAAAGCATTGATTTTTCTGGTTTTATCAGTTTCAAACTATTCACAATCTTTGTCTTTATGTGAGAATTTTTCGTTTTTTCCTTTCTTTCCACGCAAAAAGTCTGAGTTTTATTTTGCCTTCAATTCATTAGGGTTTTCGCCACTTGTCAGCGACATGGATGAAGAATCTGCTTCTAATAGTTCCATTTTCAGAAACTATGAAGGTGAAGAGATGATGGGAAAAGTAATTCTATTCGCAATCGTATCACTTTTCACAGCGATATTATTCCTTCTCTTGCTTCATCTCTACGCAAGACTCTTTTGGTGGCGTGTGGAACAACATTTTAACCTAAATCTATTCCAATCCGATGATCCTGGATCCACAGTCATCGGTCGTAATCATCAACGACGTCGTTTCATATTCGCTCAAGCTCAAGAAGATCCACCTCGTAACAACGGTCTTGATTCTTCAATCCTTCAATCGATTCCAATCCTTGTTTTCAAGTCTTGTGACTTCAAAGACGGGCTAGAATGCGCGGTTTGTCTCTCTGATCTTGTTGATGGAGACAAAGCTAGAGTTTTGCCAAGGTGTAACCATGGGTTTCATGTTGATTGTATTGATATGTGGTTTCAATCTCATTCCACTTGTCCTCTATGTAGAAACACTGTTGGTTCCGTGGAAGAGACGTTACATGGAGGAGGAAGTGAGGGTTTATCTCAAAATCGAAACTTTGACTCTGGACTTTCGAGTAATCGACATAATCCATCTCAAGATCAGAGTTCTGTTCTCGAGGCTTCGACAGAACCTATGAATTTTCCGACAAATGTATTGGTTTGGGGAGATCACAATCAAGTTAGAAGTGCAGGGCACGTTGTTACTGAAGATCCTTCTATTGATCATCAACAAGAAGTAAATGCGGTTGTGGTGGACATTCCGGCGAATCCAAGTGAGAATTTATCCGAGAGAATCCAAGAAGAAGAAGAACCTAAGTCACTGATGTTCGCAAGGTTAAGATCGCTTAAGAAGTTTTTGAGTAGAGAGAGGAAAGGTGAAGTTTGTATTAGTGGTTCAAGCGGTACCAACAACAACAATGTTTGAATAAATAGGTAATCTATGAATCCATTCAAGAACATTAGTTAGAACCTTTTGAGATCTAGATGTACATGCTTTGATATGTTCTTCGTAAAGTGTGACATACACATGTTTGATTCAAATCTACTTTACTAGAGTTGCTATAATTTGGAGTCCAATTCTAACAATGTCATGCATATTTTACCTTTATCAGTACTTAGCAAAATAGCGTTATCTTGAAAAGTAATGTAACGAAACAGAACAAAAGTAGTAATTTGAAAAACATAAAGCCAAGAAAACACAATCCAAGTCTCGAGTTTATAACACTTGCATAGGTGTCACATTCTCTACGTAATCTAAACAAAGATGTGAACTTTAGGAAGCTTCTTAAATGCTTCGAGTCCTCGTATTTGGACTTTTTGGGTAGTTTTCTTCTCGAGATTGTAGTAGACAATGTAAAAAGGGTCGTAAAGAAAGTATGGGGAAAACAACAATTCACCTGTTGCAGTCAGTCCAACAAAATGTAGAACTGGTTCACCATATTTGAAATTTTGATATGGGAGTTTGTAGAAATGCTTCGACCATTTATGTTCCGCAGCATCCTCTAGAATCCACAACAAAAAATCCATACCTGTCCAACGGCCTCCGTTCCCACGTCCATTACCACGGCCGTTCCCAAGGCCTTTGTTACGACGCGGATGGTGTCGAATATCTTGAAATAAACCTAATATACCCTTGTAGTTTATCAGAGCTGAATCGCACTTTATTACCATGTCTTCATCAATGTTAATATAGTTGAATTTCTCAGACCTAACATTAAAGCAAACTATCATAGAAACCCCGCAACAACGTTTTTCCTCAGTTGGATAATAAAAAACACCGTTGATACAAAGGATTATGAGGCCTACAAAGTTCTACTTTTCTCCATAGTTGTTTTC